AAACAGCATTTGCTGGGGAAATCAGCTCTTCCAAGGAAGCGATCCTTCCTTCTTCACTCTTTTTCTAACTGTAGTGTAATTACTTTAAACATTTATAGAGGTGGTCACACTTGCTGACGATCAGTTAATAGTGCTCTCTTAATTTCTATGAGAGCAGGAAGGGTATAGTTGGCTTTTCACAGGACTGCTTCTGCATTTTGGCCTAATTTTTCCTAAATAAATAACTATACAGTGTAATATGCCATGTCTGTAGTTCATCTCTAACATAATTTTAAGAACTGCTATAAATCTTAAAAGAAAGTTATTTTTCATGACATTAGATTCCCCAGAAAATGTAGGAAACAAACAGTCAAGAAAAACTTGAACAAAATCAAGATTTCATTAAAAATTTTAAATTCAAATAATGTTTGCCAATATTTTTAAAACAACAGAAAAACCTGGGCAAAAGCCCATGATGCTGGCCTACGAAAGTGCACTACTACACAGGATATTAACTTGTCCTGTATTTTAAAAATTATCCTTTAATTTTTAAAATTAAAGTGAGTGTGTGTGTGTGTGTGTATATATATATATACACACACACATCCATCTACAAGTGGAAATCTCAGTTCTCACTTATAACAGACACACAGAATGACAGAAGAATAGAGATCCTTATTTTAGATATACAATATACAAAATAAATACACAAAAAGGGTTAGCATCCACATCAATACAATTTTTTTTTTTTAAAAAAAGCTTAGACGGTTGTAGCAACTCTGGTAGGTGGTGGAGGGATAAATGCGGGCAGAGACACTGATTTTTCAGAGAGAGTCTAAAAGAAAAAAGAGAAAACCCTTATTTTCTGTGATAAATGGAAGCAGTTACCCACTACATCTATTTATTTGCTATAGTAAGACTACCTTCTGTAACCTGTAGTAGTCAGGGGGGGACTTCAGCGCTCCTTTCAGCATGTTATTCACGGCGATATTTGGTTGGCTGTTTTTTACCTGTGGAGGGCATGACATGCACAAAATGTAATCATCAAATATAACAACGATTCATTGTGCAATGTGAATTCTTTTTTTTTAAATAAACCAGGCTTCAACACAAATGCAATATGAGTACAGTGGGATAAGTGTAAGTAGTTAACTGTAACTAGCAGTAAAACTATCCAGATAAATTCCTGCACATTAATTATGCTGGCTAGTGTATTTCAAACCTTATCAACTGCTCTGGGAACTGGATATCTTGGCTGATGACCTATGAAAAGCAAACATAAAAGTCCAAAGAAAAGCATCACAGTAAGTAAAGTAAATAAGTCAGTGTAAATGTGATTTATATTTAGTATTTAAATTCACCTACTTTTGTTCCTGATGCAGTAGACACCAAGGTAGATGAGGCCAATCAGCAAAAGAAGGAACAGAAGGCTGCAGGGGATTCCTGCTGCAATGCCAGCAATAGCAGGACCACTCAGTCCTTCACCTGCCATCAACACGACAGACTGTAACCAAAAATGTTACTACTGTAGGCTCATCACTAACAATGAGATAAGAGCTGTTTCACACAGACAGCTGTGCTATACCTGGACCAATTCTTCGGCTCTTAGACGGCTCTCCATTGGTCATACGAGCTTTGGGGATGACTTGAAACCAGTAGGTCAGCTTGGGATCAAGGAAAAAGATATCCGTACTCCTGGCAGAACCAGGTTTCTGCTGGATTGTGCGATATACATTTGAGCTGCTTTTAGTCAGAGGGGCATTGCGATTTTTGCTCAGAAGGTCTGGTCCTTTCATTTGGATGTCGAACGCTTAACAAAATCACATACAATTCTGTTTTGTAGCATCACAATTCACAGAGGAAACCAGTTAATTCTAGCAGATCTCTCAAGATTTCAGTGATCAATGTTAGAGCTTACTGAAAC